ATCCTGGCTGGGGAATTCTGGGAGTTGAAGTCCACACATCTTAAAGTTGGTAAGGTTGAGAAGCCCTGCTCTAGAAGGATATGAATGCAGCTAAGTGCCTTCAAGACTTTAAAGCCCATTGAGAATTTTGCAGTCTAACCTACTACCTGTTTGGGTTTGTTGGGTTATATTTATATTATAAATGGGTCCTAAGGGAAGGCAATTTAGAAATGATTCTTCTTCCTGTTCTCTTGTTTTTTTTTCTGACAGGGAATAAAACCATTTATAGAACGGTGAGTATGAGTCTATAAGGAAATATTCTGAAATGATGATAGCAGACCTTAGGAGTAGCCAGAACATGAAGTCTAGCCACAGACTCTGGAACCATCTCCATGTGTTGGCTCGGCCTTCCTGTTCCCCTGTATTCTGTGTTGCCTGAAGGACCCTATGCAAACGTAGATACATAGACATATGGCTCCTTTATTGAGGTTGTGAACCCTAATGTTCAACCCTTGTACATCTCTATAGTGTTTCCTCTATGTCAGATGCAAAACACACATATCAGTGTCCAAGCAACGAATAAACTCATCAGCACATTTTGCTACTTCATTTTTTCCCTTAAACCTCATGCTGTCAAGCCCAGCCCAAGAACAACGGTGAAACAGTCCAGTTGAGTATAGTTCCTTTATTAGCTTACACCTTATAGACAGAATCTTGCCCGACTCAATCTATACTACAGCAACTAGTGGATATTCCCTGGGAGATTCTAGGGAGTGGTGATCCTGAACCTCTTTCGCTTCCCACGCTCCTGTTGCGGACTCAGCTGCCTCTTGCCTCCTCCTCTCTCCTGGAATGCGCCTCCTCCTTCCCGATAGTCTTGATTTCCCACATCACCCTCCTCCTCGTAGATACATTCCATCACAATGCATTTATACCAGGCAATCAGAAGTGAGGAGGAAGATTCCTCAGATGATGTTGACATCAAACACACCTCTTCCCTATATAGTAGCTGATGATAATGATAATGATAATGATAATGATAATGATAATAGCAGCAGCAGCAGCAGCAGCAGCAATTCTTTGAGGCAGGAAGTATTCCTAAATGAGTCGCTCTTAGCCAATATATCCCAAGTTAATCATTGTTTCTGGAATTATCTATTTCTCTCCCCCATCCTTACCACCTTTTACTAACTCTACAAACGATCTGTGTAGGATGGAGCACAAAACTGACAATTCATCCATGGGAGAATTAGTGACTGGGACTCTGAACCCAGGAGAATTCAAGGGACCCATGCATTATGCTATGTGGAAAGAAATGAAATCCATCCTTAATCCAGGTAAAGATTCATCCCGACCCCATTACCTATCTTAACTAAACTGAAGTGGATGGAAGGCGCATAGCATAGCAGGAGGGACAACCTTTTCAGTTCCCAAGTGCTATCGTGCACACTGGCCTTGGCACCTTGGCACCCTGCTACCCCCTTCCCTCCCAATTTTCATGATGACTCGTACAAGAATAAAGAAAACATGAACAGGATATCGTGAGAATGTGAGTGTGGGTGCGGCTGGGGGGGGGGAGAGATTTTTATGTTTATTAAATTTTGGAGTTTGCAGTTGCTATTATAAGGTGCAGTGAGAATTCTGAAGCTCAGGACTGCTAACCTTCAGGCCCAGGTGTTTCCTGTGGAAATCCACCCATTATTCCTTTGTTCTTCTTAAATGAAATTAAAATCTTCCCACCCAACACCCTTCATTTAGGTTGAAAAAAGAAGCTTTGAAGGAAACATGGTGCTTTTTGGTCATGCTACTGGAAAGGTTCATTTACCTAGAAAGGTGGGAGGGGTGTGCATATGGCAATGAATAGTTGTAGCCATTTATGTATCATTGATACATAAATAGCATATTAGGTGAGATCTGGAAGGACTCTTTAGTCAGTATCATTAGGACATATGAATTAGAAATCAAATATTCATTTCATTTATTTGTTGTAGCTAGAAACATTGCTTTCAGGGCAACAGCAATGGGATTGGAATGACGGCATCTTTTGCTATACTGCCTTTTGGGTGGCCCAGAAAACTGGCATGGATAACTATCCCCAAAAAATCATTATAATTTTTATTACATTTATGTCCTGTTTTTCTTCTGTTATGGAATTCAAGGTTGCCCATATAGAATTCCCTGTGCTTTTCTTTTTAAGAAGGCCTTGAGTGCACCAGAATGGCTTAATTGAAGCAGGATGCTGAATCATGTAACCTGGAACTAAACAGCAGAATTCACTGCTGATGGGATTAGTTCCATCACTTGAAAAGAAATGGACAATTATATGTCATCCCCAAAGCCCCATCATCATGCCCCTGAAATCTGCTTCTAGGGATCTTCCAATTATTCAGAGCTGACATCCAGAGAAGAAAATCATTCCTGGATTTCACCCAGAATTGGTCCAATAAGACTGATGAATCTTCAGACCATAATTTGAGACAGTTGTTCAGTAGACCTATACTTTTATGCACATATGCCCTTTCTAAATGGTGAGATTCCACCCTTTATTCCGGATTCAGTCACTTTACATTAATATCTGCCCTTAGTCATATTCTAAGTGATGGTACTGCAATATCACCGTGCTCACAGGAATCTCAGGGTCAAGAATTACAGAACCAATAATTAATTCTGTGGGTTTATCTTAACCAGCTTCCAAACCCATAAGAATATGATATCTAGACTTATTTCATTGCAAAACCGGAGTGGGCATTTTGCGGCCCTCTAGATGGTGATGAATTCCAAATCTTATCACAGTCCAGCAATATCTGGAGATCTTCAGAGCATCCATTCCTGTTCTGTAGCACATTGTATAGATGGGTCTCGTTTCCTGTGTGTGAAGCCATTTGGAAACATCTCCTACACTACATCAGTCATGTTTTTTCTTTACCAGACATCACCTTCATCACCTTGGATCCTAAAACAGCCCACCCAAACTTGATCCTCTCTGAAGGGTTGACCTGCGTCCAGCATAACGACACCAAGCAGATTCTTCCAGATATCCCGGAGAGGTTTGACTGCAGCGTTTCTGTCTTAGGTTCTGAAGGATTTACCACTGGGAAGCACTACTGGGAAGTGGAGGTGAAGAAGAAGACCAAGTGGACCTTGGGAGTTGTCCGAGAAAGCATCAACCGGAAAGGGAATTACCCATTGTCACCCAAGGAGGGCCACTGGCTGATCAAGCTAAGGAATAAGAATGAGTTAAAGGCTGTAGACGTTCATCCCAAATGTCTAACATTGACCAGCAACCCGTGCAGAGTGGGGATCTATTTGGATTACGAGGGGGGCCAAGTGTCCTTTTATGAGGCCAATGCCATGTCTCACATCTACACTTTCATAGACACTTTCACCGAGAAAATTTACCCCTACTTCTGCCCATGTCTGAATGACTCTGGAGAAAACAAGGAACCTCTGAGGATCATTGCTTTTAGTATGTAGAAGGGTGGTACAGGAGATACCTCCTTAGCAGATATGTCTCAGCCTGTTCTGCGAGCAACAAGCAGCTTATAGGATCGTGGGGTAGGATCCCAATGCCAGTAGAAGGGACCAGCCAGGGACTTCTGCTCGGGTTTTACACCCAGCTGTTTTCAACAAAAGAGTAGCTCCTTTGCCCTTTCCGTGGATCAGCTGTGACAACTGTCATGTCTGAAAAGGTGGGACGATGCCTCCCCAACAGCATTCCCAGTGGGGTCCACCGATTTCTTTCCATGAGGATTTCTGACTGTAAGGTTGAGCAGAAGGATGTGCCCCAAGCCATTAGTGTTCCACTCCATAACATATATTATAATACTAATAATAGTAATAATAATAAAAGCCTCTCGATCAAATCAAAAGAAAATGTTAACTTTAGGCATGGGCATTTTTTTTCTCCTTCTCACATTGCATGGAAAGCTCACTTCTTCAGAACAGGTGTGCGAAGAGGCAAACGTTCAGGGACTTTGGGAAGTAATCACTGGACAAACTTCGTTCCCCAGCTTTAAGGAATCCTGATGTATTGGGGAATAGAAATCTGGCCTAAAGAAAGGGCCAGACCAATTGCAACGTGTGGGTTGGCTGTCTTAAAAAAAAGAAAAGAAAAGAAAAGAAAAGAAAAGAAAGAGAAAAACGAGGAATACCCATAAGTAAAGAGCAAATATTTATGTTTGCAATAACTTATTTCTGTTTGAGATTCGTGCTGTACTATCAGGACCTCGGTGGCTGTGATGGTTTCACAGCTACTGCAAAAACTCAGAAGCGTGGTAGCACGTTTCCAGCTGACCCGTTTTATTAAAAGGCAGGTTAAACCTCTTCATCAGGTTGCTTTTAATAAAAGCAGTTAGTGGGAAAAGGCGCTACCAGACTCCTGATTTTATGCCCCCAGAGCCTAACTCGGCTTTCCTCCCACAACATCTCCAGCGACTGCAATGCGAGGATCAGCCGTCGGTTTCGTTCTTTCTCTTTGCCCTCCTTCGGCCTGAGGGACTGCTGTTAGCAGTACTGCTGTTCGTATTGTTAATCGTTTGCAAAACCCGGCGTTTTGAGTCCACGAGCCAGATTCAGAGCCTCTTTGACGCGCTTCATGTTCGGAGCTGGGCAACGTCAGGTCTCTGGATTTTGCGGCCCTCGTAATGTCCCAGCCGGAGAGGAGACCCGTGCGGAGGGGAAGGAAAGACGGCCTGTGATTTGGGTGCAGCTTCCAGGGGAGAAATCCGTGCAGGGGTGCAGATGCGCGTGCAAGAGGATCAGATGCGTGCAAGCCACTTCCTTCAGCGGGTGGGCGGAGACTTTCCTACCTCTGGGGCTTCGCTCGGGCTGGATGGAAAGGAAACGGGGATACGGAGGCTTGCAAGAGCCCGGCTCGGCCTGAAGGAGGGATGTTTGGGGGCCGCAGCGCCTGGTTCTCGCAGAGCGTCCACCCAGAGCTCTGCCGCCTTTGGGGTGAGGGGGGCAAGGGAAGTCCTGCAGGGGGGGAGGTAGGAAAGCAGCAAAAGCCCCCATTGGGGTGAGGGGGCCTAACCCCCCCCCATTGCCACTAAGAGCAAGACCGTATCACCAGGGGAAGTCCAAAAAGTCAAGATGGCGCCTGTGCAATCGAAGCCCTGCCCCCCCGGGCTTCGAATCTGGGTCTCTTCGAAGGGAGGGCTTTAAGCACACGGTGCCATCTTGATTTTGTTGACACAGCCACAAATCCTACAGTCTGAACATGGACGCCGTGACGCCAACGTCTCTTCCTCGATTTATGCGCACACATTCGTCGGCGTGCACATGTGAACAGCTGGGGCACTCGAGAGAGGGCTGGGTCGGGCTGGGTTCATTTTGTCCTTCCTACAACGTCCAGGGAGGGCTTCATGCGCTGGGCCAGTTCAGGCTTGTGATAGTTCAAGGCCGGTTTCCACACTGGGTGAACTACGTGGGGCATGTGGGGGCGTGGACAACGCCACGCCAAAAGCTTCCTCCAGCAAAATCCAGCGCAGAAGAGGACAACTTTAGGCTCTTCCTGCCGCAGGAAGGACCCATTTTCTGGTTTCCGACCAGGTGTTCTATCCCAGGTTGAGTTCTCCTATCTAAGCCACAAAACAAAGGCTGATAGAAACCAAGCTTAATGTGCTGTGCCGGTCAAGCCACCAGGTATTTAAATGACTGGGTGAAGCGTATTGTGTAAATCCATCCTTCTGCCCACCTCATGCCCTTCAGAAACCTTGTTCTGAAAGGGCTGAAGGAAACATCTGGGCGGTTCATTCACAGAGGCGGAGGCTGGATAGTTGTGGCAAATTGTTAATGTCGGATGGCTGCTATGGGCATGGACCCAGAGCCGCAGCAATCCGAGAACCCTACAAAATCAGACCAGAGGCTCTTCCCGTCCGGCCCTCAGCTTCCCATAGTGGACAACCAAGTATCTCCGAGATGCCCACATGGAATAATCATCTCGAACTATGGCTTCCCAGCAGTGGGACTTTCTTCCTCTAAACTTGAAGAGTTGATGACACCATCCTAGCCTCAGAGCATCGTCCCACCAGCCCAGATCCCGCCTTGGGTCTTTGCCCCAAGGGCAGGGTCAGAGGCCGAGGCAGCTGCCCTTAACCTGGTGCCCTCGGGATGGGTGGTGGGTTCAACTCCCTGAATTCCCAGCTGGGGCCTTCTGGGAGTTGTAGTGGGTGTGAACACGCTCAGAGGCATCACCTTCAAGAAGGTTTAGGTAAGTGACAACGGGCATGGCACCTGCAATGAAAGAAAGAGGACACAGCCAGAGGAAAGGTGGAAGTTCCTCTGCCTGGGAACGCTGATCCTGGAACACCCTCTGTTTTTAAGAACAATTATCAGGGTTTGCCCAGGGCTTTCAAATGGCAAAGCTGCTTTTCAGTCTGTCTTTTAAATCTTGGTAGACCAAGTCATTTGTGAAGAATATAACTCTCTCGTGACTTCAAATTCTGTGTTCCACGATCAAGGACCCTCACTGTGATGTCTTTCTGCAGCTGGTGAAGGAGGGGTGATTGTGAATCTGGAAGCTGCTGATTACCTCTTCAGCAGTGATGCTTCTCACCCAGATACAAAAAGGTACATTTTACCACAACTGTTTGCTTCGCTGGGATCAGTGTCTTATATGATCTTATTTTTCTAGTCCTTAATTTCTGACCAGAGAAAATCCTCTCCCTTGAAGGGTTCAAGACCCCACGTGGTTCAGTCTCCTACCTCTTGTGAGCCAGAGGTTCTGGCTTCCTGCTACAAGATTTTACCTCTTTAACTTTCTTTGAATTCTTGGCTGGTGTTTAGAATTTGGTTATTTGAGGAGCTTCTGGCCTTTCCCTCCTTAGGCCAAATTGTTCAGCGGGGGGTCCACTGGGTATGGTCCAAGAAGTGAAGATGGAAGCTGTGATGGAGCAGTCGAAGGTCCACCTGGTTTTTACATGCAATGCTTTGACCACCCCATGATGGCCACCAACTTGACTTTTTAGACCATACCCTGAGGCTGCCCCGTTTGGTAACAACGAACACAGCTGAACTATAGTCAGGAAAATGAAAACCAACACAAATACATTCCTCCTGCTGTGATATTCTCTTAATAATGTTAAATCTGGAGCAGGTTGGGTTTGGAAAGTATGATGAAGACACCTTAGTGTGAGTCTTCTGGAGCAGTGTTTCTCAATCTTAGCAACTTTAAGATGGGTGGACTTCAACTCCCAGAATTCCCC